AAAATGGAAGTCAGGCCCAGCAAAAAACCTCGTGAAGATGAGAAAGAAGAGAAAGAATCCGGTGTTCTGAAAAGACTTATCAAAGAATTGTCCACCGATATTTCCGAAATTTCTGAAGAGGGGAGTAATGAAAAATCCAGTGGTGAATCCCAGCCTCATAATTTTTTATACTTCTTCAGTATGATTACCCACGCTGAGTCGAAAAATGATACTACAAATCAAGAAGTAATTAATCAATATTTTGATTTTGGTGAAGCTCTAAAAAATCGAAAAAAGGAATTAAAAAAACCAATAACGCTAGTGCATCTAATGCTTTTCTCAGTGTAGAACTTCGTGCTCAAATTCCTAAAAAAATTACAAAAGAGGCTCTTCGTAAAAGAACTGAAAAAGCTCGAAAGATCTATAAGCTTTTTGATGGTGTTGGTAAAGAAAAAATAAAACAAGTTAGAACTTTTTCGGCGACATCGATATCTAGATTAAGTAAGGATGATATCGGATTAAAAGTTTTATGCCGGTTACTGCGCCACTTACTGTGTCTGCTGTGTAATGCTGTGCTCCGTAACACTTTCCTTAATAATGACAAAGAAGAAAAAATCTCCAACAGGTAAGTGGATGTTATTGCGAGCAGTTTTGTAAATATTCCACTCATTGTTCTTGACAAAAATAGCTCCCAAAGAGGACGTTCAAACCATCAATGTTGGTACGTCTTCGAAAGGTAAAGAAAAATCCGAGGAAAAAGCATCGACTTTCCCAAGAGAACCATCTACAGGTAAAGTGTCGTATTGCGAATATTTTTTGTAAAGAAGCAACTCATTTTTATCGACATAATAGTTTCTATGGAGGATGTTGAACATACTGAAATTATTTCATCTACGGAAGGCAGAGAGGTCACTTCAACAACTCCAAGTATTGAAGAAATCAAGAAATGGAGTCCTGAGCAGGTTATTACTTTCCTAAAGTCCAAGAAAAATGATTTATATCTCAGAGAACAAGATATCAAAATAATTGAGGATAATTGGGTCGCCGGTCAAGCATTCCTACGTTTAAACGAAACAAAACTTATGCAAGATGGCTTATCTCGAGGACCAGCAGAATCAATTGCATATTTGATTGAAACTCTTAAAGGCGGAGAAGGTAAATAATGATCTAATAACACCCTGTTGATTGTCGAAATAAAAACTTAGTGTAAAAAAATTATCATAGCGGGAATGTTTAGATTTGAGGAACTGTTTGGTATTGCAAATTTTGCTAACTTGCTTTCATAACAATTTTACATCTGACAACTAAAACTTGCGCAATATTGTCTCTTGATTTCACTTCTTATATTTCTTATTAATATGAAGCAATTGCGGATCAAACATATCAAACACAAGGTAAGGTTCTATTCTGATGCCAGAGTATCAATTAATAGCGCTTTATTTAATCTTATATTTCTCTTTTTTATAGATCATAGGAATTTGCAGGAGATTGTAGAGAATGCAGTGAATAAAGCAATGAAAGAAAAACCATTTGAAGTGATAAGTATATCAAAGCTGAGCGATACCAAGATGAACAAAATTGAGAAAACTATGGGGTTTGAAAGCATACGAGTATGTACAATAATTCCTACTAAAGCAGTGATTTCCTAATATGAATTCCTTCTCATTTTTTTTTCTATATAAAGCTTAGTGTCGGAGATTTCCCAGATTCTTCAACTATAGAGTGCGATGGATTCAATTGGGATATGGACAAAGATGAAGACAAACAAATGCTGAATGTCAAAAACTGGTTTAAAAATGTATTAAATTTAGGAGAATATTATTCCGTCGAAGACGTTCATAAATCTACAAAAAAAGAAGTAACATTAGATAAAGCTCGTACTATATTACGGGGTGGATTTGATATTTGCATTGGCCCAAGTCTAACAGGATGCGTCTATGTAGAAACAAAGAAACCACTCCAGGAATTAAAATTAGAAGAATCTCAAGCTAAAGGAGAATTACTTATCGCAAATGCAGATGTTGCGTTAGATGTATTGGTCGTATTGACAGATTGCAACGAAAAGTGGACTATCTTTTTCATAACCAAAGTTGAAAATCCAGTCGAGCAATATTTCATTGTAACTGCGGTAATTGATGATCGTGGCAAGGCATTAAGTTTAATCAAACGTTTTGTTTTGGAACAGGGAAACAAACTTGATGGCATTATAGGAACGAATAAGAGAGAGAGTTTAGAAGAAAATATAAATATTGAAGGACCATTATCAAAAAAGGCGAAGTTCAGAGAAGATGTTACATTTTGTGACGAGAGAATGTTGGATATGATTCCAGATATGACAGAAGATGAATTATTTCGTATGAAAATGAGGTGGGAATTAAAGATGCTTGAAAAATCAGTTCGTATGGATGAGAAACCTATTATACAACAGTACATGTCAGCATTTAGTGATGATTACAAAAATCATGAACCCTCTGGTTTAATGTCAATGTATGCATAAATATTAAATGATGAAAAATTGAGCTTCTTTTTTTATGTTATCCGTGTTTGACTAGTATCTCCTTATTTGTTTCATACACATGATGTGACTCAGGTCATGATTCCCATTTCGAAAATAATGTTCATGTGATTTAGTCTGCATACGTATAATAGTTAATTTGCAATTTGAGAAAATAAAATGGTCCGATTTTTATTCTATTTTGGGTTAATCCTTTGACAAAATGAAATTTATTAATTACTTTATATGACAAATGATCGTATCGTCTTTTTTATTACCACAACCAGTTTTAATTTTTAACCGTAGTTTTTTTCGATTTCCTACAGAGTTAACTACGGAATGCCTTCCTCTGAAAATAATCTGTAAGTAGGTCTAGCTTGTTAGCATGTTCGAAAAAAAACTTAGTCATTCCGGTGGTCACGATTCAAGGATCGGTATCATAGTGTTTTTCTTTAGCTTTGAGGTACTTGATCCGAAGATGGAATTTCTCACATCTTAACAAATAATTTCCACAATTTCATACTAATTAAAGGAAAAGCAATTGACCGGATTTCTATGATGCGATCATACTAACGTGATTCCTATGGATGATTAATTTGGTTCCTAGTCTTTATCCCATAAATGATCCATCAAATTATAATTCAAACTTTCCCGCAAATACCGGTTGAGGGTATCCGTTGATCCAAAGGAGAAATCCATGGATGAAGAATTTGATTCTTGGACGGCTATTGCTACATCACACATAAAAATGAGGTAAGTTTCACCGATTAGTCCTTTTATCTGCTTTGTGCAGTAAACAAAAAAATTCAAACCAATCAATATTATACTTAACATCAATAACCGCAAAACTGCTATGCGAGAATAAATTCGCAAAATATAGAAATGGAGTTCAAATGCATTAACCTTATTATTTCTTCATCCATATATGCTTATCGTCTTTTTTCTTAATATTCGTCGAGAAAATCTTTGTATATCTAATAATATAGCACAGACAAGTTATGTCTCACCTGATTTGTGAAGTATTACAAATATATGCATTGCGGATAATAATTAACCAAGTTCGTGATCTCTGAAAAAATAAATTTTGGAGGGTCTACGTTATTGTGAAAAATCATCATGATTATTATGCGAAATTGTGCTTACATACTCCCAACGATATCCTCCAGCATGAGCTTGAAGTCCTCGACATACTAGTCCGATATTTTGACTTTTAATTCCAGTTATGCGTTGTGCTTCAGCTAAGGATGGAAATTCTCGGAAAGATCCATCATCGAAAATCTGCTTGGTGGCACGTTTGCGACAGTGACCCCAAAGCTTAAAGCACACGGCATGTTGGGTATTTTCCTTTTGTGTACACCATTCGAGATTGGATGCTTTATTGTTGGTACGATTGCCATCAATATGATTTACACAATCTTTGCCTTCTTCTTTTGAACAAAACGCTAATGCTACCAAACGGTGAATATAATATTGGTTGAATCGAAAATATCCTTCGTATAATGATCCTTGGGTGATTGCACCATTCGTTAACTGAATTCTCCCTAGAGATGAAACTTTGAACTTTCGTAATTTATATTCTATTTCTCTCCATTCTTCATTAGGATCCTGTGGTATATAATCTTCATAATATATCCAACACCAGCCACCGGCGGTATTTCGCTTTCCGCTACAACATTCCGAAATGTTATTTTCTGCGATTTTAAGCGTATTACCAGCGAGGCGAATAGAATTCCAAATCTGAATAACTTCCCCATATAATGCTTTCTGTACGATCCACCTAGAATTACCACGACCACGGTTTGGGAATACCTTACGTTCAGCATTCTTTTTAGGAGTTACCCATTCCAAATTAACAGCCCGATTATCATGTTTGATGCCATTAATGTGGTTAACGTAAGGCTTATTTTCTGGATTAGGGACAAAGGCTCGTGCAACTAAAATATGAACACGGGTATGTTTACGTATACCATTAATCCTAAAAACTGTTGGTACATAACCAGACCTTTTGCAAACACCTGGCCTTAAAATTATACCTTTTTTGTTCTTGATGCGCCCAATATTGGAAACTAGTAAGTCTTCCACTGGTAACCAAACTTCCATTGTGACAACTTTTATTATTGTAAACGCATTTATTAAATTTGATTTACTGCGCCACTTACTGCGGCCGTGAGCTCAAACTCACGCTTCATCTAGTATCAATATCGTATCGAAATAGCGAAGCTAATAAAGTATTTAATAAATGTATAATGCGTGACTTTTTTTTGACTTTTGGTCACGCGGTTTTTCCGGTCTCACTTTTACAGATCTGGAAAAATTATTGCCATTATCTCGATTTTTTCCGAATCTCAGTAAAGAAACAAAAACAAATTATGACAATACCCAATATATATTAGTCCATTATCTTGTATTATATATTATTGGAAAGTTATCCGGGCGATGGGTGAGATTTTGAGTGCGTAACACAGATGTTCGATCAACATATATCACAGAATAAATTAGAAGGTCATGGAACTTTTCATGCATGATGTAATCGTGTGACCTGCTGATTGTTACTAACTCGTGGCATTTGCATTTTCTTTGTGAAAAGTTTTTTCGCTGTGCATTGCATCGCTCCAGTTCCACCTTCCCTAAATCTACTGTTCTCATACCTAAATGAGGTAGAAATGAGTTGCGGAAACGTGTTAGCACTTTGTACTAGTTCCACTAAAAGGGCAGTATATATACGTTATGGTTATTCGTCGTTTTTACTTGCAATATAACAAAGAATGGCTTCCCAATGTTTACCTACCCAGCGTCAAAATTTTGAGAAGAAACAATGTTAATGTGGCGGAGTCTCAATATCGTCGAGAGCTTCAGGATGCTATAACCACATGTGGCGGGACCCACTTAAATAGCAAACGAAAACTAGACACAATCTTGTCACAATTTAACTCTATGTCTAAGGTATGTATTATAAAAAAATATTGGGTATCATTTTAAAAATGATGATACGATTTTTGTGGAAGAGTGGTGGATATAACAACATAGGCCTATGTTACTGTCTGTATCTGGGTGTACGTGATATTGATGTAGCGTATGTCTTAGCTTGCAGAGTGCTAGCACTGTAAGCATCAAAGGGTGCAGAACAGAAGATTCATCGTTCCGGTGTGATTCCTCACATTAGGTTCGGTACGAGCTATGCCTCGTGTACCTCGTCGCTGGCCGTGGGCATGGATCTTATAATTATTATGAATAATGAACGACCCATAATAACTGATTTTATGAGACATATTAGATAATTATCTTTTTGAGAGAACGTTTGACTAAATTATTTTTTTTTCTGATTCTAGGAGCAACGTCGAACATTTTATAAGGAAGTTTGGACCAAAGAAAAGGAGAAGGCAAGCATATTTATACGTGTATCTTATACTCGGCAATCTGAAAGCATTTTTCTCGCCTCACAGTCACAAACTGGCCATTTATAACTTTTTATTATTCAGCGTCAAACTGTAGAACAAGAACGTAATGTCGATATAATTCAAGAAAATACTGAATTTATATTAGGAAGATGTGTAAGTAAATACCAGATTTCTTGTTTATTTGTGGTATTTAATGCTGATACTGATGTGAGAATTATTATCTTCAGAGAGCTAAGATAGAAAATGGTTGCTCAGACACTATCATGGTCGCGTATACTGAAATTATCCGCCACCTGGAACAGTTGGACTTGACGTCAATTAGACCAGAAGTTCCTATAGCATCTGGCGTTATTGATCTCTCGGGTGGTGAAGACCCATTTACAAATTTATTATCATTGAGGGCAAAGCAGATTTTGACGCTTCATACATTCCATAACGATGAGTTCCCAGAACAAATAAAAATAATGATGGATGATTTCGTAAACACATATAAAGATCTGGGACCCGATTTCGATCCGGTATTCATGCGACCAATTGCTTTCCCACGAGGGGAGATACCCGTTGCATCCAGACGTATATTGATGACGGTTTTTGACTTGTTAGAAGGATTGTAAGTTATTAGTGTGTAATTATATTCATGCTTACTTTGTTAAGAGTATTTCTTTTCCAGGCGTCACATTTGGAGTTGCAGACCGCTATTGACAGAAGACGAATATAGTGAGAATGCTTATGTGATTCATGCCGTATTGAAGGTTTTGGATCCAATCCTCACATATTCAAAATGGCCACTCAAGCATGCATGGTAATTATCTATACAACTATTTTATAATCAAAATATATACGATGTATTACCCATATTAACTCTGTTAATTATATATAATTTTCAATGTATATACAGTGTGGTCCATAAGTATCCGGAAAATTTTTCGCGGAAAAAAAATATGCATATCTTTGCCAAATTAAGGCCGATTTTCACAATTTAAAATGGAAAAGAATCGTCATTAGTGGGTTGTTCGCGGAACTTCTTCGTGATACCATTTCTTTTATTTTTTTTCTTTTTTACTTTGGTATAATTATGACTTCCAAGCAAGAAACCAACCGTCAATTCATTTTACAATTGTGAAATCAGGGCATTCGAGATGCCAAAGAAATCCATATCATAACCAATATATCCCTTTCAACAATATATGACAATATTAATAAACTCAAAAAATATAACACAAATAAACATGCTGGAAGTAAAGGTAGATTCAAGAAGATAATTGTATGAGTATCAAAGGCATTGGATCAATATATATGAAGGGATTCATTTATTTCAACGAGAATCCTGGTGATAAAATTATTAAAAATTGATGTAAATGTATTTCATCAAATGGTTGGAAGATATTTGGCTACTCTTGGATATAAAAAAGCACTCCTACTAGGAATGCTGATGCTTACTGATATTCATAAATGTAAATATGTGACATAGGCTCGCAAACATCTTGATAATAATTGGAATAATATTTTCTTTTCAAATGAAACAGCTTTTAAACTCTTGGAATATGGTAGAGTGCTGATATAAGGGAGCATGACCGATATGATGTATATTCAAGGATCAAAGAAAGATTTTTGCATGAGAAGGATTTTGTATAAATGGTAAAAGTAATTTATTTTGTTTTTTTGAAATTATGGATGCCAAATTTTATGTCAATATTCTTCGTGAGCATATTCCAGAAATTAAATAATTGATGAAAGATGAATGATGATTCCAGCAGGATAATGATTCGAAATACATGAGCCATCTTGCCAAAGCATTTCTTGAAGAAATCATATCTGAAGTTTTGGACTGATCATCTAACAGTCCTGATTTGAATTCCATTGAAAATCTCTGGTATATTGTTAAGAATAATGTGGAAAAGCATATGCCAAAAAATTTAGATGAACTGTGTCATTATATGATAATTTAATTAGGTCTATGAGGTATTATTGTGAGCTTTTAAAAATCATATAATAAATTAGCTGGTCTTAATCTTCAAAATGCATAAATTTCATGTGATTTAAGTCATTGGTTGTGGTGTGATGAGTAATTTTTTAATTCCAAATACTTATAGATCATACTGTAGGTCTGAGCAGACAAGTAAATCATCACAATCCAGAATGGTGCGGATGGAAACTATGAATTTGGGAAAGAAGCCAGATCTATAGATTTTGCTAAAGCTTGATATGGTGAAAAATGAACTTGTATTTGCTAAAGTTTCATGATTACTCTCTCAACAAGACAAAGAAATTATCGACTAGAAAAAATTGGTATATATTTGTAAAGATTGTTTTGATGAATAATATAACTTTTTCTTTGATAGGAAAAATGATACCACTGATATAGTTAGATTGTTAAACATCAAGCTAGAGAAAGTTCCTGTTCTGGATATCCAAGTAATACAAGATTGTGTAACTATTTCTGTATTAGACCTATTTAAAGATAATTTTTATTAGATTTTTCAAATCTGCAAGTTGGTTATACCATTACATATTTCCTCACATCAGGTTATTGAAGAATTTTTAAAGAATACTCTTGAATTAAGATTTGCGATGGAAAAAATTATCACAATAATAGTAGATGTGAAAGATGAAATTAATTTTTTACCAGTAATTAAAGATCAGACTCCATTATCATCAATGATGTTAACTACGTATTCTCCACCAAAAAGTTATTAAGAGATTTAGATTATAAAAACACAAATTTACTAGAATATTATATTTCTATTTTGTATTTTATTTTTTCCTATATCAATAAAGATGGTCCTGATGACTAATAAATTACATACTTTATTATTTTTTCGTGATTCAAACTCTTGAATATAACTATACTTATTTTTCAAACAATCATCACGTGTTATTTATCAGGCACATGATAAAGTATCAAGTCATATATCCATATAGTCACACCAGGAAATTAATTATATGCTTGTAATCAGGGTTGTCATCAAAACTAGTCCAGTCCACTGAAATATAAAGTTCAGTCCAGTCTAGTCAACTGAACTTCGCATGATTGAACTTAATAGGTTTGGTCCAATAATAGTCTAATCATGTGCAAGTAACTTTTATCTAATCAAAAACAATAGATGTGACAAAAAATTTTTTTGCAAAGATAATGACATGTCGCCATTAATTAACTGCTTATATTGAAGTACTTGATCAAAATGCAAATGAGTATAACAAGTATGCAATATGCTTAGCTTGTATTGAGCTAAAAGGTTGCTCTTATGCTCTTGAAAAACAATTTATAAATATCAAAAAGTGTTGTAAAGATCATTTTAAAAAATGTGACTTTTTCAAGCAAAAATATGGAAGAGATGAAGCACAAGCGATTTTAGATGATACAGATAGTAAAATAATAATACAAAAACATCAAAGAAAGAGAGTTTGTAGACAAGATGGTTAGTATAATTATCTTAAATTTAATTTAAATTCAAATTATTTATTAATAATTTAAAATTAGATGAATCTACTAAATTATCTTATCAAACATTAAGTGTTAATCAAAGTCAAATTTCAGTATCAAGTAAAATATCTAGCTCAATATCGAATAATAGTTTCTACATGAAGTCAACCTTTTTAGCAATCAATAAATCATTGGACAATTTTGCTTTTTGTTAATTTACTAGAAATAATCTTGACCAATTTAATTATCTGTTATTAAAAGTAACAATTTCAAATAGATAGAGCTTCCATTGGGTACAAAATTCAGATGCTATTACATTATTTAAATTCATTAATTCTTCATGCAAACTTCCTGAATGACAAAAACTAGGTGGTGACATATTATCACATACTTTTGATTAAATGATTACTAATATCAAACTAAAAGTACAAGAAGATTCATATAGTATTACTCTTACAATGGATGGTTGGACAAATATTGTTAATCAATCTATCTTGGGAAGTGTTTTAATTATAAGTTCAGGTGAAGTTTTAGTTTGGCAAGCAACAGATATTAGTGGTGAAAGAGCATGGACTGAAGAAGTCAAAATAAAGATCAATACTATTGTGAAAACTGTAACAGATGAAACAATAAAGATATCAGCAATTATAACAGATAGCCATTCATCATATGTTACAGCAAGATAATAATTATTTTGCTTTGAATTTTGAAATTTATTTAATTTATTTATATATTTTATTTAGAAAACAACTTCAAGTTAAAAATCATACGATTATATATTTACCATATTTCATCCATCAGACAAATTTATGTGTTAGAGAAATATTTAAAGAATCTAATACATATAAGACTACTACCATCAAAGCTACTCATATCATGATGTATTTCAAAAGTAAAAGTCATGTTTATTTCGCTGGAAAACTTTGAAATATCCAAATGCAGACATATAAAAAATTATAAGTTTTGATTGTTCCTGATAATATATGTTGGAACAGCTATTATTATTGTTTTAGTAGTCTTTTGCAAATTAAGGAAGCTTTAAAGATAATATTATTTATTAAATTATTAATTATTATTGCTTATTCTAATTCTAATTTTAATTTATCAAGACACTTGTAGCATAATATGAATCTTAAATTGATATCTATAAAGAAGCAGAATCATCACAAACTAATGTAAATAATTAGAACAATACATATTTGCACAAAATCAAAAGTACTCTAAGAATTCTGAAAGATAATCTGGTATTACCTAATGATATCTGTGATCTAATTAATGATCCTGAATTTTGGTGAAATATACTTACTATCAAACAACTTCTTTTATCATATTATGATTGCTTGAATATTTTACAATGAGATAAAGCACATTTTTATGATGTACTTTATTCTTTTGATTACTTTTATCAATTTTTGTCAAAACTTTCAGATCTGTAATTCAGCACGCAATTATATAATTATCTAGAAAAATGATGAAAATAGTAGAAATAATCAATTATTATTTTATCATAAGTACTTCATCCTAACTACTGTCTTGACAAATTTGATATGAACTTAATACATTTGAATTGGATTGATTTAAGTGAATATTTACTGTATTATTATATTGCTTGGACTGGCACTATTCCAATAAGTATTTTGTGAGAGTTGATAATTATCAGATCAAGAAATTTTTATTTAATGACGTATTATTTAATCAGTTTAATCAAGATATATTTGGATATTGGAATTGGTACTCAGAGAGTACAAAAGAATTAGAATTTGTGATATGTCAAATAATGAGTATTTGTATAAATATTACATCAGTAGAAAGATTATGATCTTAAATAGGTCATTTATATTCAGTTTCAAGGAATTAATTAAAGATAAGAAGTAAATTTATTTAAAAAATAATTTAAATTTTTTTAATGCAATCTAATTATACTCTATATAAAATCTACTTTTTAGTATACAAAGTTCTTGGCAATAGCTCAAATAAAGAGTGTAATAAATCAAGCTTACCAAAATCACAAACTTGAATAAATTAAGCAAATGTATTATTCAAAAGCTATTACAACACTATATAAAACTAATGAAGATCTGATTCAAAGAACTAAACTGATAGATAATATTGATCAAGATACTGAGAGTGATAATGAATTACAAATAAGAAGTAATAAAAGTATTGTTAGTGAGAGTAGAGATGAATTGGATAAAATATTGAGATTGTGAGAGTCAATGCTTGAAGATGAAAAATTAGATGATGATTAGGATGATGAAGAGATAACTGATTTATTACTCGAAATAGATTTATCTTCTAATATTCTTTCACGTTACTGATATTCTCAAAGAGATAGTTGCGCAAAATAGATATTTAATGAGTTATTTATTAATAAGTTAGATGCATCTTTATATATCAATAAATTATAAAAATCCTATTTTTTTATGTATATATATGATTAAAATAATAATAAATTTTATTTTCCTATATATGTGATATAAATCTCATTTTTTCATATATATAATTAGATAATATATGCACGCAATTAGACTTACTTCACTAGATCTATTCTAGTTGATCAATCAAAAACTATTGACATAATCTAATAATAATAAACTATGCCAATTGAACTGGACTGAATAGTCTGGACTGGAATAAGTCCAGATTCCAGTCCAGTCCAATCCAGAATTTGGCTAGAACTGGACTGATCTAATGATAATCCTGATTGCAGGACCGATAATTTTCTGCTGTGATATAATGTGAATTCTGTCTGTGATTAGATTGTGATTTTGTGCTTTGCTTTAATCAAATTTGAGTAAATTCTGTTTTGTACTATAATTGAAATTTAGTAAATTCTGTATTATTCTGCTATAAACTACATTTGAATGATTATACCAATTCGAGTTATTAATGATAGTCTTGGAGAGAGATGGATAAAATTACTTCTATCAATAATAATACAGAAAAACTCAGTATGTCTGTCATCAAGTAAGTATTAAATGATTTTAATAAAATATTTCCAGCAGATTTTGATCAGTATATGTATACATGATCAAAAAATCTTACAAATTGATTAAAATCCAGAGAATTAGTTATCATTATGGTTTTTTTAAGAGATTTTGAAATACTGATGAAGTTATTTTAGATGAAAAATCAGTTAATTCATTTTTGACTAGATGTAAAAAAATCATATTTATTTTATAAAAAACTTAAAAAAACTTAAAAAACATAAAAAAAACTTAAAATAAAATTATTTAAAATTAAAAAAGAATATCTTAAATTCCATTAAAATACATCATACTTAATTTTTTTAATGATTCTTGGGATAAACTTTGTTAGTCACTTGATAAAAGAGAATTATATAATAAAAAACTGCATTCAACGCTATAACTAGAAATTGGAAGCCAAATATAATCTAAAGTAATATTAGTTAAAATTGGTAATTGAATACTCAAATCTTGTTAATGTATATCTAATACTATTTTGATACTATTATTATCATTATTTTCTAATCTGCAATAAATAGCCTATTTCCAAATTAATGCATCAGATGGATTTATAAGTTCTGGAATGTCTGCATAACATCATATATTTTTTCTGAATATATCATTAGCATGAATATAACTTGGATCAAAAATATGGCAAGCTTGAAATAATTTGTATACAGGATATTGAGAAATATATATTTGGAATTTATTATAAGCTATTTCAAATGCTAATTGAAATATTGAATAAAAATCTTCAGAATTAAAATAAAAATTGTGAATAAGTATTTCTAATTCAGATCCAAAGTGTTGTGCTTGATGATTAGTTTGAATATATGCTGTAAGTTGCTCAAGTCAGCTCTTCATTAAAGAAAATAATGGTTTATTTGATTGTTGAAAAAAATCAAGATCCTGAACAAACTCTTTAGCATAAATTGAAATAAAATTAATATATATAATAATAATGCCATAATGTTAACTATTTTGTAAATATGAATTAATATTTTGTAAAGTTTGATTACTCTGATCCATTTCATATTCTTCTTAATAAAATGTTAATCAGTATTAAATATAATCTTTTGCATAAAAAACATTGGAAAATTTTTGAGAACACAGTTTTATGCAGATCTTTAGATCTAAAATCTGTGCAAAACTTCAAACCTGGTGATAATTGATAAAGAAAAAAAAATTAAAAAATCTGCACAGATCTATAACAAAATATAGGTCTGCGCAGATTTTTTAATTTTTTTTTAAAATTCTGCGCAAAACTTCACAATATTAGTTTCAAATAACAGTAGCAATTTCAAGTA